TTTTTTATTTTTTTATTTTTGTTTTTTTGGTCGGATGTTGATATAATAATTATGTGATTTATCTTTCTTAATGTATATAAAATTGTCACGCCTTGAAAAACGTCATGGTTTGTGGCTTGACCTTACTGACACGCCTCATGCCATTTAGAATCTCTCTCTCTCTCTCTCTCTCTCTCTCTCTCAACATTCATAATTCTCTCTAGTAATTTAGCTTTCGTTTCTTTGCCTAGATTTGAAAGTGCCCTTATGGATCATCCTAGATTGAAATTCGGAAAGTGATCTTACACGATCCACAAACAATTTGATCATCCAAGCTTTCGTTTCCGTACCACCATTACCATGTTCGTATTGTTTGATAAATATCTTGTATTATAATTTTGGGAATATATACACTAAAGTCCCAATATTTTCATCGATTTGACAAGAAAGTCCTAAACTTTATTTTTTTGACAGTAAAGTCTAAATTACCGACAATTTTTTACACTTTCACCCTTTTTTCCCAGTTAGCTGGTAATTAAGACTTTTTTGTCAAAAAAAAATAAAGTTTAGGACTTTCTTGTCAAATCGTCAATTAGGACTTTATTGTCAAAAAAATAAAGTCTAGGACTTTTTTGTCAAATCGTTGAAAATAATAGGACTTTAGTGTATATCTCCTTTTTTTGTTAGAAATTTAATGGTAGGATACTCTTTAAGCATAAGAGTTATTAAAACTTTCTCTAGTCAGCTAGATCCTATTGAAATCCTTAACATTTGCTTCTTGTTAAATCGCTTTTTTAATCTCAACAAACAAACATTGAAAAAAATGGAGATAATCAAAAAGAAAGAAAGAACCGGGGTTGTGTTGGCTTTTTGATGTCCCAAAAATGGAGAAATAAGAAACCGAACCCTGGTTCTTTCTTTCTTGATTATCTCGATTTTTTTCAATGTCGGTTTGTTGAGATTAAAAAAACGATTTAACAAGAAGCAAACGTTAAGGATTTCAATAGGATCTAGCTGATTAGAGAATGTTTTAATAACTCTTATGCTTAAAGAGTATTATACCATTAAATTTCTAACAAAAAAAATTATATATACACTAAAGTCCCAATATTTTTAACGATTTGACAAGAAAGTCCTAAACATTATTTTTTTTACAGTAAAGTCCTAATTGACAATTTGACAAGAAAGTCCTAAACTTTATTTTTTTTTGACAAAAAAATCCTAATTACTGGCTAACCGGGGAAAAAGGGTAAAAATGTTAAAAACTGCCGGTAATTTGGACTTTACTGTCAAAAAATAAAGTTTAGGTATTTCTTGTCAAATCGATGAAAATATTAGGACTTTACTGTATATATCCCTATAATTTTTGCGGGGAGGCACCAACATTTAAATATTGTTTGATAAATATCCTGTATTATAATTTTTTTTCTAGTGTTCAAAATGTTAGGAACTTGTAAACCGCATAAGGACATGGGGTTCACATACACTACTAGAAAACATGGCGTTTTCCTACGGAAAATAGCTACGGAAAATTTCCATAGCTAATTAGCTACGGAATTGCTACGGATCAGCTACAGAATGGGATGCCCTAGTTTAGTAAAGGAATAGCTACGGATGCGGGTCCGTAGCTATTCCGTAGCTAACTAGCTACGGAATAGCTACAAATGTTGCATTTGTAGCTATTCCGTAGCTAGTTAGCTACGGAATAGCTACAAATGCAAAATCCGTAGCTATTCCGTAGCTAATTAGCTACGGAATGGCTACGAAATACCTACGGATACTTATTACCTACGGATTAGCTACGGAGTATGCTTTCCGTTAGAATTCCGTAGCTAATCCGTAGCTAAGTAGCTACAGATTAGCTACGGATTTTTCTTATTTTCAATTTTTCGGGCACCAAACGTCGTTTTTTTCGCTTCGTTTTTTTCACACCTCTACTATACATGATTATCTTTCTTTTCACCAACTTGTAGCTATTAATATCGTTCATAAAGTCGTGTGCCCCTTCGGGATCAAGTACTCGTTTCACAGTTTAACATTGTAATGCATATACTTTTCACCAACTTGTGATGGATTATGTTTGTATATATATATATATTTATATACATGAATGAGTTGTGGTATACGTGTACATGTATATGTGTATGTATACGTGTTTGTGAGATGTATGTGAACGTATTGATAAGCATTATAGTGTTAAACCACTAAACGAGCAATGGATCCCGTATGTGTACACGACTTTATAAATGATATTAATAGCTATAATTTTGTGAAAATATAGATAATCATGTATAATAGAGGTGTGAAAAAAATGGTGTGAAAAAAACGGAGTGAAAAAAAACGACGTTTGGTGCCTGAAAAATCAAAAATAAGAAAAATCCGTAGCTAATCCGTAGGTAATTAGCTACGGATTAGCTACGGAATCCGTAGCTAATTACCTACGGATTAGCTACGGAATATGCTTTCCGTTAGAATTCCGTAGCTAATTAGCTACAAATTTTTCTTATTTTTGATTTTTCGG